TTAACATGCATGCGAAGGCAGCAAATGACTGCCCAATGCTTGTGTCGCTGCAACTCGTGTGGGAGACCCAGACAGAGTTCCAAGCTCCTAGCTTCAGCCTGCGCCAGTCCTAACCACTGCAATCATTTGGAAAGTGAACCAGCAGGTGGAAGATCTTGCTGTCTCTCCTTCTCCATCGCTCTTCTTTTCAATTGAGTAAAACAAATCTTCTTAAATTAATTTATTTTATTAAGTTATGTACAGTTTCTTAGGCTCTGGGATTTCCCTTCTTCCCTCCTCATGTCCCCTACCCCCACCCTCCACCCAGATTTGAAACAGGAAAAAGTTTTTAAAAAAAAATCCTTGTGGCTATAACTATCTGAAAACAGGAGTTCTGGAGCCTTCAAAGTGTTTAGCAACTTCTAACTGCACGCCCTTGCTGCTCTCTGCAGACTTCAAAGCTTCTGATGTAACCTAGATGAGACCAAGGTCATGGCTGACCACCAACGACCTGTGTAAGTCCTGCTCCCAATCAACAACTCGCTTATGTGTTCCCCTGCAGTATTTGATGCTGCTAACCACCTTCTTAATGCTAAAAGTAAAATGTCAATTATACCTGATAAGATTTCCCCAAATAGAAATTTCATTTGTTATAATCTACAATCCACTTTATATCACACAAACATGTATGTGATCCTTATCAATGTTTTTACTAGTTAAAAGCCATCTCCTGTTTTTAAGAAATTACATGTGAAAACTAAAGAGGAGAATTTGTTAGTTAACTCACAACCCAACCTCTTAGATTTATATAATCTCTACCCATGAGTCAAAAAAAAAAAACCATGATTTTTACTACTGGCCCTTGACAGAGAGACTAAAACATCCGAAATATTAACACACTTGAAAGAAAGCTGCAGATATTCTCCCGAACGTCATGTTTTCATTCAGTAAGAACTGTTCCCCCTCGAGCCAGAAGCACCCATGCAGGCTGTGAGAGGAGCTTCAGCTCTCCTGTGACAATACCGTGGTTTCCATTCATCCATCCCTCAAACAAAGTAACACGCCTCTCAGACCTATCAAACATAGTCTTGTACACAGTGGGATAAATTTGCAAAAAGAAGATACTTCGCATTGTTTGAGGAGTCCTGTGTATATACCTCCGTTGCTCCAAAGGCCCATTAACTAATGTTAATTAACATAAGCAGTTCTGCAAAGGAAATGCAGCTTTTCTTTAGGAAAAAAAAAATCTTTTTTTTTTCTTTTTTGAGCAATCAGCTCTCATTTGTAAGAAGGGAAGAGAATGTAGGGAAAGGAGGTTGCTGGGAGCCCAGGAGACCCCAGCAGGAACATGATGGCTGTGGGATTCCATCTGATGGGAAGCCTATTGGGGTTAAAAAGGAAAGATGGCAGGAGAATGAGATTCAAGCAGAGCAGCAAAGCTCTGAACTGCCTTCTGTGACTGGCTGCTCTGAGCTCTCTTCAATAAGAAGAACTTTCACAAGGAGGGTTTTTTGTTGCTGTTGTTTTAATCTACAGGTGGACAACTCCAAGAACATTATACTGCTTCTGAGAAGAGCTTCAGAAAATAAGGTGCAAATATGTCAGTGGGATTTTAGGTTGTTTTTGAAACTTGTGCAAGGCACCTGGAGCTAAAATAAAACCTCCTGCCATTTCATGAACATTGGAGGATTTCTGATTTTCTAAGACTTGGAAAATGACACACCTACTGCTAAAGAATATCAACACAGTACATTTCTATGTTTTACAAGCATCATGGTAAAAAAAGATAGTTTTGCTGTCTTAACAGGAGAAACACAAGGTAAGCATTTGGTAAGCCTAGATCCATTTTTCATCTCTAGGTTTCCAGCTCAATTCTGATGAACTGACCAGCCATCACCAAACTGCCCCTGAGCCTAATCACCAACACTGACATACTTGTGGTGGGCCCCTTTGCTCCTGATGCCTGCTCAGAGTCAGAGGTTGTACCTCTCCCACTTGATGCTGTGATTAGTAGGCCCAAGACGAATCCCACATGCCCATGTGCGTACCTGGCCACCACGTGCTGGTTACATGGAAGTGGCTAAAGCATCGTCCTTGGTGGAGATAAAACTTTTTCTCTACTACGGAACAAAAATACCCATCTATGCTTCTGAATATTTCAGACACGGTATAAGCACAGATGCTGCAGTGCAGGTCAGAAAAACAGTTCAAATAGACAAGGTTATGGTTATCAGATTTAACTTACAGTTGTGCCACTAGCTTCCCTGGTGTCCAATAAGTGTATAGAAAGAGGGTATGTGCGGATGAGATGAGAACTTGTCACAAATATTAGGATCAATCCAGTTTTATGTCCACGAGAGACTTCAAAACAAAACAGAAATCCCTTTGGTGGACAGAACTGGATAAAATATCAGCCTGGAATTATTTTATCCCTAATGGTGAAAGCTTCCACACACTGGCTCTGATTGAGACTACTCATGGAACTTTTGTTTCTGTGTAACTTATGAAAAAGAAACTTCGAAAAATCCTAAAGATTCAGAAAGACGGTAATGGTTTCAAACACAAGCCCCATTAATATTGCTTCAGTAATTCATCAACACACTGACTGAGCAGGCACAATTTGTCAGACACTGCGGGATGCAATGATGAAAACAAAACAAAACAAAAACCCTCTGTTCCTGCTTTTGTGGGGTTGACCTCTAGCAGAGAAGAAAGTGCTCAGAGCACCATGCACATAAACGCATGCTAAAAACAGACAGGGCCGGGAAGGCAGGAACACAGCACCACAAAGGAGACAAGTGGAGACCAGAGCATCAGCCAAGATTTCCAAGGAAACAGCGCTGAGAGTTAGGGAGGAGGCAGGTAGGTACAGGGGAGGGCTCTCCAGGAAGGGGAGGGCTACCAAGGAAGAGAGGCTGGACCCCCTGGAAGAAAGCAGCTCTGGCATTCAGAGAGGGTAATGGTCAAGTGACTGCAACCTAGAGCAAGCAAGACATGCGGTAAAAAGGGACAGCAAAGGAAAAGGCATAAAGTGCATCCCAAAGGAACATGAGGCTAAAGACTTCTTCACTTTGTCCAAACAGAAGGCGAAGGATTTTTTTTTTTAAGATTTATTTATTATTGGAAAGTCAGATATACAGAAAGGAGCAGAGAGAGAGAACAAGATAATTCACCCTCTGATTTGTTTCCCAACTGGCCGCAATGGCCGGAGCTGTGCTGATCCAAAGCCAGGAGCCTCTTAGGGTCCCCCATCCAGGCACAGGGTCCCATGGTTCGGGCCATCCCTGACTGCTTTCCTAGGCCTCAAGCAGGGAGCTGGATGGGAAGTGGGGCTGCCGGGATTAGAGTGGGGGCCCATATGGGATTCCAGCAGCACGTGCAAGGCAGACTTTAGCCAACAGGCTACCACAGCAGGCCATGTGAGAAGGATGTTAAAGAAAGCAACTACATCTGATTTTCACTGGAAAGGATCACCTACAGCCTGTGCAGAAGAAGGGGTATAAACACGTGGACAAGAACAAGGCCTAGCCTCAATTTGGCACAAGAGTAGGCAGAGAAACAGTAGGGGTTCACTCAACAGCACAGGCAAAGGACAGAGGCAGCTGGCCAGGAGGTGCCATGGGGTGCAGAGAATGTGGCCAGCCTCATGGTCTTGAGTGACACACTGAAAGATACCAAGATGAAGGAAGAATATGGAAGGTGGGAGTGACTTGGGAAGCCCTGGTTTGCGGTGGTGGATACAACACCAGAAAACAACCTGTGTGTGGTTGAGTGCATGAATGATTCAGCTTGCGAGTGACCTGAGGCAGAAAATGAAGATGCCAAGTAGGCAACGGTCACATGAGTAGGTCTGGAGTGGAACCTGAGCAGAACCACAAACATAGGAGATACATCAGGAAAGCGTGCAAATGAGTGAGCCGACTCCGTGTGTCTCTCCCAGGGAAGGCTGTGTGTGACCTCCTGGCAAATGCCTACTGGGTGCATTACAAAACAGCATGCACACTGCACTTACTGTTAAGAACACATACAAGAAACCTAAGCGCACAGTCTGCAAGAGGAGTACACACTCAGACGGCACACAGTGAGCTGGGGCGAATGTGCCAAACTCTTGAGCTGCTCCTGTGTTTGACTAGGTTTGGGTGAGGACAGATGAGTGACAATCAGTGTACGTACGCCCATCTGCATTGTTGGCTCTCATTTCTCACAATGAGCCCTTCATCACCACCAGGCCCCAATTCATCCCAACTTTCTCGGCATCCTCAATCCTACCTCACACCCTGACTCCCCATCCAGGTTAGCTGACAAAGAGGAAAGAGGATGCCTATTCTGTACATTAAGTAAGTAAACAGAAAAGGAGCTTGGTGTTCACGTTTAAACTGCAGTCTAATCACTGGAAAATACCCTTCCTGCTCCTGAACGGTTTGAGAATACACGGGCTGAGCAGTAATTCCAGCTGGATGATGGCCAAGCAAGTGTGGGACCCACTGACCACGCTGTCTCCTTTCACCCACTCCAAGTGCACCAGGAAGTACAATGACATCCAACAACCCCCCATGCTGAGGAAGGAATGCCAAACAACTGCCCCACCGAGGAGAGAGCTAGACCAGGAACTTGAGCTAGCTGAGCTTACACCAGCCAAAGGAAAATGAGTGGAAGGATCAGTGGCTCTCATACAACAGCTTGCGGTTTATCCCACATTTCCTACAAGTTACTTAACTTCATCATTCAGCACCTTACCAACCCATGTGTGGAAAAAAAAACTGAGCAATTGGTTTTGAAATACCGAGGCCTCTCCTTGACCGAGGATATGATTTTCCTAGAACAAAGCAGGTAAAGGGTGAAACGGAAGCATTGTAACATCAGAAATCAGGACAGAACATGTTTATCCCCATGTGAGCTTACTTCTCCTGTTCTCTGATCTAAGTCACCTTGTCCAGCAGCTGAACAATGTGCTAACAGTCGTTAATTAGCGTGCATTCTGCAGAGACAGCATGATAACTGCTCAAGGATGTAAACCATACCAGCAAGGCAGGTGCAGGTGAAACTGCTCCCCTTGTGCTTCTCGTTTGCATCAACGCAACTCCCATTGTTCTGGCAAGGTTTCCTCTGGCAAGCGTCAAATTCTTCACAGAAAGTGCCCACATACTGGTCCTCACAGGTACAGGAAAACGTTGCCTAAGATAATAAAGAAACACAGTGTAAGCCATCTGGGTTCCTTAAAAACGTGTGTGCTTACAGTGACAAGTCACCACCGGGGCCGATAACAACACTAACAGTCATTTGTCCTATCTGCTAAATCGTGATGAGGTTAAGATCTCAGATTTCTGGGAAACAGCATGTGTTTCTTTATCATTTAATTTCAAGCATGTATTTTTAAATTCACAGTCTTACTTAATCCAAACATTTTAATCAGCCTGAAATAGAAAGAACAACTTATTTTAGCCTAAACGTGAAGTTTCATTGTCCTGGAATGAAAATAGCAAATTTTGTTAGGCAGATAAATTATACTACAACCATTAAACTAAATGTTGCTCTAACCAAATAAAACCAATCAGCATCAACTGTGCACATACAGAAATGTCACCAAATGTCGTGCTTGGACTGTGCTTCCAGGGCAGACCGAATTCACTAAATGGCTCTGTAAACAGCCTCGTGCAGACTGCCCAAGGAAAGGGAAAATAAAAACAGTACTATCCAAGCCTCCATGAAAGACCACAAGTCTGGCTTCAATGCCCACCTCAAGCAATGAAGATCACTATAGGACATTTTCAAGAAACAGAAAGGAGGGAGATGGAAGAAAGTGGGTTAGTGTATCTTACTCCTTAAAAACAAACAAAATGGCCCGGCAAGATAGCCTAGCGGCTAAAGTCCTCGCCTTGCACACGCCCCAGAATCCCATATGGGCGCCAGTTCTAATCCTGGCTGCCCCGCTTCCCATCCAGCTCCCTGCCTGTAGCCTGGGAAAGCAGTCGAGGATGGCCCGAAGCTTTGAGACCCTGCAGGGGAGACCCAGAGGAGGCTCCTGGCTGCTGGTTTCAGATTGGCTCAGCTCCAGCTGTTGCAGCCACTTGGGGAGTAAATCAATGGACAGAAGATCCTCCCCTCTTTCTCTCCTCTTCTTTGTATATCTGACTTTCCAATAAAAATAAAAATAAAAAACACAAAACTAAGCAAAACAGACAAAAGCATCTCTCCAAGCTGTCTTCCCAAACCCCACACGTCACTGCTCTCCCAAGCCAGTGACAGGGAGCTGGATCAGAAGCGGAGCAGCTGGGCTTGGGCTTGTGGCCAGCACTGCAGCCGATGACTTGGCCTTCCAAAGTTCTGCCCAGAGTCACCAGGCCCTCGCCCAACCCACCTATGCTCTGATCCCACTCCTGCTCCTCTTCTGAGGTCCTTCCCTTCCCCTCGAGGGCACCACCACAGCAGCTCCCACACTGAGAGAGACAGTTGCTTCACGTCCACTCTTTCAAAGTTCCGCCCCAGCCACCAGTCCTTTGTCCATCCCACCTCTCCTTGGATCCACTCCTGATCCTCATCTTAAAGAGACTCCACCTCTCCTCCAAGTATTCTCCATCCAGGTTCCCACCCAGATTCTCTTCAGCACAACCCTGTGTCTGACCTCCTCCCAAAAAAGGAAATTTGCATCCAGTCTTGGCTATAACATGTAATTACTTCTGTCCAGTCTTACAGTTCTGGTGCATTTACTAACCAGCTTACTAATGCATATTTTTGATTTCCATGTAGCAATTGATACTCAGATATTTCCTTCATCCTATTCTTATAACACTTATCTTACATTTTAGGGATTATTCTAGAATGCCAGGTTATTGGTACAGCTGTCCTACTGAGCATTCAGTACAGATCTGAGTTTTTAGCTGATTTTCAGCTTTTCTAGGTAACACAAAACCAAAAAGGGAAAAACCAGTATTATCAATTTTAAATAATAATGTCACCACCTCAAATACAGCTCCCAATGTATTACTGGTGGTTCTCTCAGATTAAGTTCGGCCTCCAAATGTTGTTTATAGAATTTATCACTAACTAGAATATGGAACAATTAGGGGGTTTAATCAAGTGCCATTTTAGCTTTCACAAAAATTACCTAATGCTTTCATGTATGAACAACTGACTGCTCATCACATGAATTGAATGTGTAGGTTTCCAAGAACTGATTCAGTCTTACATTTTTGGAAGAAATTGTCACTTAGGTCATTACACAAAATGGTTTTACTGTAGTTGGATTCTATTTGTACCAATGCTTCTAGAACCTCTCATCTAACAGATGCCCTCTCTTCCCAACAGACTCTTTCCTAAGATCCTTGCACCAAGATCCTATTGGTTTTTTTGTAGATTTATTCATTTTTATTGGAAAGGCAGATCAGGTTTACAGGGAAAAAGAGAGACAGAGAGAAAGAACTTCCATCCATTGGTTCAATCCAGCTGCAATGGCTGGAGCTGAGCTGATTTGAAGCCATGAGTTTCTTCTGGGTCTCCCATAAGCATGCAGGTTCTCAAGGCTTTGGCCCATCCTCTACTGCTTTCCCAGGCCACAAGCAGGGAAATGGATCTGCAGGGGAGCAGCCTGGACATGAACCAGAGCCCGTATGAGATCCCAACCCTTGCAAAGTGAAGAGCCTCCGTGCCTGGCCCCAAGACTCCACCTCACCTCTTAAGAATAAGCACCAGGTAACAAGTGAATGAAGGAGGGAATGAGGAAGGCTGCGGCCTCAAGGGTCCAGCCAAGGAGTCGGACAATGGCACGAGACACTGAACTTGCCCAGACTGCCAGCTTTGGCGTAGCGTTTCTTTTGTTAACAAAATAATGTTAAGGACTAAGGGAAGTGCTTGTGATCTTCATGACGACATTGCCCTTAGCTTGCATTCTTCAACAACATCTTTGATCTTAACCATGTGAGAAGCCAGTCTTTTTTCTGAATGCTTACATCACCTCCTCATCTCCAGTCCAACTAGAGTGACTATACTTTCTATCCTGCATTTCTACCATTCTCCAACTTCCTTGTGACTGCTGGCAATCCTCTCTGCATTCCAGCATTAGGTTAGCCAATGAACCGCTCTTTCATGATGCATTGAGTTTGTTCCTCTTGTGTGGGTTCAGTTGTGAGAAAGATACTCTTTTACTTGGGCAAAGCCTTTTTCTAGAACAATCTTCTAAGGAAAATCTTGTTCTAGCTTAAATGTACAACAGAGCACGCATTTGGTATCTGCAGACACTGTGCGGGGAGACCTTTGTGCACCAATGTTTTGTGACTGCCTTTGAAATGGAAATGCGGAGTCCATCCAGTGCATACACTTCTAAGTGAGCCACCAGGTTGTCACGATAAATTACCATGTCACTGGTATTAGCAGCTTACCTCTAAAATTTACTTGGTTTAGATCCAGACATTCCATAACACAGATAAATTTCCTTAGCTATTTGAGGAATATAATTTGCATAAAATTCATTTAGTGAATTCCAGGGAACATATGTTGCTTCTGACAATAAATTATCAAAATCTCCAAATCAAATACCTTTGAGTTAACTGTAGATTAATTTAAAGCCAAAACAGAAACTACATATTCTATGTTGCTTTACTGCAAGCAACGGTGTTGAAAGAAATTAAGAAATGTTACAACAATGGCTTTGGGCAAAGCAGGACACTGAGCTGATTTATTTCAAGCTTTGATGAATGAGAAGAGGCATAAACAAATGTAAACAAATGTTTACCATTCAGTGTTGGTTAAAACGTGTGTATTTTTATGATGTCATTCAAAAACTCAGATTTCTTCCTAGCTCTGATTCCTTTAGTTTCCCAAAATACCTCTTAAAAGGTGTTTTGATAGTTTTAACTCTGCTGATTTAAAAGAGATCATGAATGCTTATTACAGAAAACTGTATTTGATGATTCAAAAAAAAAAATAAGCTGGCCACTGAAAGCTGTAAAGCATTACGGGAACTTTAGGAAATGCGATCTATTGCTGAAGAGTTAATCAATCTAGTTTAAGTGATGTCATAAGCATAAGAAAAAATGGATTCATTTAAAACTAGTAGCTATTACCTGTGGTGCTGGCATCCCAAATTGATACCAGTTTATAACTAAGCTGCTCCACTTCTGATTCAGCTCTCTGCTTATGAACCTGGGAAAGCAGCAGGAGATGGTCCAAATGCTTGTGTCCTTGTACCCACGTGCAAGACTCAGATGAAGCTCCAGGTTGCTGACTGGCATGGCCCACCAGGCTTGCTGGTATGACCATTTGAAGAAAGCCATGAGAATAAAAGACTTTCTCTCTGCCTCTGCTTCTCTTTGTGTAACTCTGCCTTTCAAATAAATAAATAACCCAGCTTCCTGCTAGTGGCCTGGGAAAAGCAACAGAAGTCAGCCCAAGAGATTGGGTTCTTGCTCAGTGGAAAACCCAGATGAGCTTCTGGCTCCTGGCTTCCACCTGGCCCAGTCATACCGATTGCAGCTATCTGGAAAGTAAACCAGTAAATGAAAGACTTCTCTGTCTCTCCCTCTCTCTATATATAACTCCAAATTCAAATAAACAAATAAATCTTTTAAAACATTACTTTGAAAGGCCTCAAATAAATGGCCTAACAATGCATCTCAAGGACTAGGAGCAAGAACAATCCAAACCTAAAATTAATAGGAGGAAAGAAATCATAAAAACTAGATAATTAAAACAAAATTGAAATGTAAAAGCAATCAGATAACAGATCAGCTAAATATTTGTTTTTTTAAAAAAAATGAATAAATTGATAAACCATTGGGCCAACTACTCAAACGGGTAAGAATGTCCAAATCAATAAAATCAGAAATAAAAAGGAGATGTTACACCTGATGTCACAGAGACAAAAGGAACTATCAGCAAGTATTACAAATAGCTGTATGCCAACAACTTGGAAAATCCAAAACTAGATAAATTTCTGGACACACACAATCTACCAAAACTGATACACAAAGCAAGACATAGAAAACTTAGTATACCAATAACTAAGACGGAGATTGAATCAGTAATAAACACCCAACAAGAAAAGTCCAGGACAAGATGACTTGTGACCTGGGAAAGCAGCTGAGGACAGCCCAAACCCTATACCCACATGGGAGACCCAGAAGAGGTTCCTGGCTCATGGCTTATGACTGGCTTAGCTTTAGCAATTGAGGTTACTTGGG